TGATACTGAGCACTAATTATGTATACACACACACACACACACTCACCCATTCACACTCAAACATAGGACTACTAAGAAAAGACATACGTGGCTACACCAAGAGGCCACTGGAACACATCCTTGTCGTTGACCCACGGGCTGTCGTACACTAGAAACAACAGCTCGATAAAGCCGCCGTTTCTCTTTAAGTACGGGCCGATCCAGTCGTTGTTGCAGTGCTCATTGCCCAGCAGGACCACAGCCACATGTGACACTGTGTGGGACTGTACCATAGCTTGGACATGTTCCAGCCACCGTGTGGAGTAAGAGACCTTCTGCTGCTCGCGACCATTCAGAACCAGAACCAGGCTATTCATATCAAGAGGGACATGACCCTGGACCACAGCAGGACCTGTGTAGAAACTAAAAATGGAAAGGCAAGAAGAGAGGGAGGAACGACAAGTCAATATATTTTATTATGATGTGGGGGAGTCGCAGAAGCAGACTATATGCTTGGATTGGCAATGTTTGAGTATTTCGTCTTGGACTCATTACCTGAAATCAATCTTTCCTGACTGCAGCTCTCCCTCTCTCCATTGCGCTACCTTGTCAGTAGGGTTGAGTAGTCCCTCTAAAATATGTTCCCAAAGGTAAAGCCCTGAGGAGAAAACAAAGGTTTAATGCAATTTGCCACCAAAGTGAAAACGTCAACACGTGCAGTGCCATTAAGTTGTACCGTTGGCCGGGTTCCTCAGCGGAGCATAAATCAGTTTTATGTAGTTATATCTACATCTTTGTATGTGGGCACTCCTGGTGTTATCAGGCGTATAAACAACGCAGGTATTATTTAATTTGATGATTCAGATAATATGGAAGCATAATAAATTAACTAAGCAGCATCTTGCTGTATCCCCTCTAAATTGTACTTAAAATAAGGAAGAAGTAAAAACCCTTCGAAACATGAGATGACATTTCATTTGGTGTTTGTTCTTCTGATATTTGTTCTTTTAATCTGGTTGACCTTTTGTTATTTACACTCTGAGATAAACCAATATGACTAATCCACGACTCCTTCTACGTTCACTCTTGCTTATAAACAGTGATTACATTATTATTATGTCTTTAACAAGCTATTTTATTGTTTAAAGGACATGTAAAATACAATTTTCTAAACACAGTTCACATTCTTCACCAAAGTATCTTCCTGCCCTCTGCAATGAGACCGCAAACTGTAATATAATAACATACAGATTCTCAATTATATCTAATGCATTCATTAAATACGCTTAATTATTAACGTAATACATTTCAATAATATATATTGTTTTTAAATGTATATTTAACTTCTCCACAAGTATTTTAGTAGTTCCCATCATAGTCTTTATTTTCTACGTGGGTTAAAAATGTACAGCCACACTGCAGGGGGACTTAAGACTTAATGACTTGAAGACACTGAGTGCAGTTTATTAGTAAGTTTATAGCTATTTATAAAGCTTTTACATTATGTGCAGTTGTATTTATAGTTTTTATACACGTCTCTCGGACTGTACTATCTATTTCTCATGTTGTATTGCCCAGTTCCTGGATTTCTTGCACCTCAACTCCCGCGAGGAAAAACACACAAATCCTAGATGAATAAATGACAATAACTTGAATTAAAACTGAAAAAAAATGCACAATTAAAAAGGTATATTGTTAAAATTGAATGAAAAATATGCCAATGTGAATACACAAGCGCAGATAAAGACACTATAAGGTCTCGGTGTTGTCATTTCACGCCCAAATCACAATCTCCTGTGACAGATTCACGAAATCCCATAGCACCACCACTTACCTATGGCGGCTTTCCCCCAGATTTGGACCCTGTATCTTTGGGGTTTGTTCTTGTCGATCCGACCCAGGCGCTGTTTGAAGGCCTCTCTCCTTTTGTTCAGAGCAGAGTTGTACTCCACCTGTTCGTCCTCCCACGGATTCCAGTCCTCGGCTAGAAATGGAGCAGCACCGCCATCCCTGACACCTGCAAACGCAACACACATCCAGCGTCCACTCGGTTTACGGGTATTTAAAAGCATCTACTGCAAAAAGAAACTGTCAGTGTGTGGAAATACAGCCCGCCTGGGTGCTGTGAAGACTAAATGAACCGTGTTAAACGTTACCCGAGGGTGCTCCTGTCTCTTTCTTCACCACCCTGTGAACGCGGGAGATGACTTTGGTGCTGAAGAAGACATTGTACGCAGCGTAGAGCGAAAATGCCACATACGCGAAAATAATTAGGAGGAATAGTTTTCTTTTAGGTATTTTCATTTTTCTTTGTTTGTTTTTTTCCCACTCAGGTTACCATTGTGTAGCTCGCCTCCATATTTTGCAAAAAGGACCCTTGTTTACATCACGAGGACCCCTGGATACAGCTGACTTAGAGAAATGCCTGTATGTTACGCCTTGTTATTTTAAATCTATTTGTAGTGTCAGCCACGTGTCGAGACTAAATCCATCAAAATGTATTTCTGATATTAATTAATTACTGGTAAACTGTGAAATAACGCTACATGTTAGAAGAAAATAGAAAGTGACACTTCGGTCAGACCTCACGTAACGCGGAACCTTGTGAAGGCGGAGAGTTTCTAGTACCTCACATCAGAGAGTTGCACGCCAGATTTCCTAAAGCAAGGTCGTGTCCGGCAGCTGCAGAGTGGAGGTCTCTTATTCTGGGCAGATATGTTGTCCATAGCCGCTCGTACCGGGGCTCTTTCCCCGTACTTACGGGCTACAAAGCACACAACTAAAAGCCTGATGTCCCCCGGAGCGAAGGAGTTAGTGCCTGTCGCAGGTAAGGTCGAGGGCGGATGTCAGACTGGTAACGCTGCCTGGACTCTGTTGTTGTTGATCTGCCTTGTGTAACTATAAAACCTCAGATGTCAGGGGAAGTAGCCGAGGTGCTGTAAGTGAAGTCTGCGACCTGACAGCCGTTCAGGGTCAACAGTGGCTCTAAAGTCAAATTCTAGTGAGATGTAAAGAAATCAGGCCATGGCATCACCAATTACTGCTCTGATATTAATCCTGATGTGTCACCTTTTAAATAATAAGTTAATGTGTGCAGAAGTAGATACTCAGATAAAGATAGTTCTGATCTGGTGTGTGGGGAAAAACAGGCAAATGTGTTTTTCTTTAATGTGTTTTTTGGTTTAACAGTATATTAATTTGTATAATTAATTCAATTAATTCAACAGTATATTGTTTGTTTAAGTATATATATATAGGTATATCACAACTTAAACAGTATTGATTTAATCCTTCAAATCTTTTACCACGCTACAAGTGAAATGTGAAATTAACCAATTTCTCGGGTCACATTAATGCACCAAAAATCATTTAGTCTGTATTTTTGGATCATTATTAGATCCACTATTAACTACTCCTAAAATAATATTGCAACATTTTGTTACAGGAACTTGGTAATTGACTGTTATAATTGCTGATATGAAGCAATAACAGAACAGCAGTACTTTAAAATGTTGTTATAAGCTACTGTGTAGTTAATCTATTTTCCCATCTACTGCGTTAGTCTTTAAAATCTGCGTCGTATGTGTCCTTTCCAGCTCCTGGAGGAATCCGCCTTGCCCACACAGACATCAAGATTCCTGACTTTTCAGACTACCGCCGGCCCGAGGTCGTCGACCCCAACAAGTCCTCCCAGGAGAGCAGCGAGGGGAGAAGGGTCTTCTCTTACCTCGTCACTGGAGCCACCACTGTGGTTGGTATCTACGCAGCCAAGACAGTGGTCTCCCAGTTTGTCTCCTCAATGAGCGCGTCAGCAGACGTCCTGGCCTTATCCAAGATTGAGATCAAGCTCGGTGACATCCCAGAAGGCAAAAACATGACCTTCAAGTGGAGAGGAAAGCCCCTGTTCGTCCGTCACCGCACAGAGAAGGAAATCTCCACAGAGCAGTCTGTGAATATGGGGGAGCTGCGTGACCCCGAGCATGACAAGGACAGAGTGATTAACCCCAAGTGGGTCATCGTCCTTGGCGTGTGCACTCATCTGGGTTGTGTGCCCATTGCAAACGCCGGAGATTACGGAGGCTACTACTGTCCTTGCCATGGCTCCCACTATGATGCTTCAGGAAGAATAAGAAAGGGACCTGCTCCTCTTAACCTGGAGGTTCCCTTCTACGAATTCCCCGACGAAGACACAGTCGTGGTTGGATAAATTGGAGCTCTGTCTCAGTTCCTCTCTGTAATATTGTATTTTAAGATGGCTTTGTTTGAGTTTGGAGTAGCATAATATGTGTATTTACTAATAAAACTATTTCCAGCTCCATGATTGAGCTATTGCATTTTTTCATCCTTAAAAGTGAATTTTGAGCTAGATGTCTCTGATTAATTGCAATTTCGCAAAGTACTTTCTCTATCTCAATAGATTTCTCTCATTTCACACTAGCTTTTGCAAATAACATTATGTAGCACAAAAGACTCCAAATCTACAGAGTGCTTCACATAAATAAAGTAAAATAAAACTAATGACAGACAAACGGCTGCTAAAAACAGAAGAAATATGAAAGTCGGAGCCAAAATGCAGAACAAATTCACAACCACAACAGGTGAAAGAAACTACATTTCTAACAAAAAGGTTTCACTAGCCTGAGTTCTGCTTTGTACTTTGGAGGACCAATATTGCTTTCGACAGTGACAGCCAGGTCGGGATATCTAGAGGTACAATCATTATGGTTACTGGACTTCTTTGGTCAGAGCCTTAAAAACTAAAACACAATCATAAACACAAACAACAAGCTAGTCTTTGGGTAATACATTTTAAAAAGAATGTCCCCTTTGAGGATAAATAAAGTACAGACAGAATAAAAGCAAGCATTAGCTGTTGGAGAGTAGCTTTCTGTTTGTGGTCAGAGACTGTTGCACAGTTACAAAAAGCTGCTTTGTGCTCATTCACATATTGACTACAAGAGATCTAGGAACCCTGAGGAACCAAATGATTCGGATGATAGGACATTCCCTAAAAGCCACCCTTAAATACACACTGTTGTTGTTTTTATTGATGAAATCATTTAAAGCAATTAAGAGTTTGAATTAATTGGGTAATGGCAATACAATGTGCTGTACACAGATGCTGGTAAATTTCTACTCTTCAACTTCATGAATGTACGTCAAATTAAAATATTTCACACTGTACAGTTGGCGCTCATTCAAAGCATAATCCTTTGTGTTTAAATAGAAGAAAAGAAAACTTTCATTTTAGCTGGCTCACTCACTCAGACCTTAATTCAGAGTAACTTTAAAAGGCAGACATGATTATCACTTTCATTAATAATAGATAATTCCTTCAACTGATAAGTGCACTTTCAATAATAAATAAATCAATTTTTACAGCTGTCTTGATTCACAATCATGTGCTACCTTATATTAACCAGTGTAACCTGTTACCAGGACTGTGTTGGTGTCTGAGCCATTTTACAATATGTGGTTTCACATTTGATGAAGAGTCTCTCCAGCTTCATAAAAACATTCCACAGTCTTCTTAAGGACTCCATCCTCCTGAGCGTGTGGGCACGGAGTCAGGTTATTACAGTTTTTTCCCCCACAGACACTAATCCACATAGTGCACCTCTGCCTGGAGCTCCTTGGTGATATATCCGAGTAGAGCGCCTGTGAGCTGCTGCTTCAGGGTGGCATTGCCCATCACTAGAGCGGTTAGCTGGGCCACATCTGTCCACTGAATGTCTCCCAGGATGGCCATAAGATCACCATAAAGCTTCTGCTGCTGCTGAGGACTCAGCTCCATTATGATCTGAGGCAGAGGTTTGAATTGTCCGCTGGTCAGCCAGCAGCCCAGAAGGCCTCCAACAGCACCGCCTACAGGGGAGGAGGGTTTCAAAGTTGTTAAATCTTACAACAGCGATTTCTCCTACACGCCAGTATATGTTTGCAACGAAGCATTCGAGGTTTGAGGTTCAGTATACCAGCAGTGACAGATTGTCCTCATTTTTATGTTACAATTTCCGCTTACCGACTGCAATGCCAAGAGGACCCCCGACCAACCCTCCAGCGAAGGCCAGCCCCCCAGCTGCTGCTGCTCCCTTGCCTGACCCTTTCACTGTGGTCTGGATTTGCTGATTGGCAGATAACTCACAACACAGCTTCATGACATCATCAATTCGATGACACATACTGTGGATCAGATTTAAATGATCAGGAGACATGACAGACAAATTGTAACTACAAGCTACTTAACAATCTGCCAACAACCATAGAATAGGAAATCAGGAAAACACTGTCCTAAATATAGTTTAAATAATATATAAATTATTTTGGTAGCTATTCACAAATGTACAAATAACAAAATCACACCAGACACTGAAAAACACATTCATTTAAAACAGTAAACATACATTGACTATTATGGCACATAGTAATTTTCTAGTTTTATTACACACACACACAAGTGTCAAAGTGCAATAGACCTGATTGCATCAGAAAGTATAATAATATTCTGACGTTACACAGTGTGTCATCTACAGCTCACCCTTCCACAAAATATTAGCCATTGGATAAGAAACGTTATTGGACATACCTGTTTGTTGTTGTGTTTTCAAATCCGCATCAATATTTGTTATTCTCTCTGTAATGTTATGATGATGATTCAGCCGGTAGCTCCTGATTTCTGAGCTTGCATGACTATGGCCGCAATGCCCGATGGTAGCTGAAAACATGCTGCGTTCAGGGACTATCAACGAATCCCGAATTTCCTAACACCAGCTTCTTCCCAAAGCCACCACTCTGATGAACAGTCAACGTGTTTTAACGTTTTAAAGCAATGAGAGCAATGCAAACTGGGTCAAATTCCCTGCATGAGTACTGTGGGCTACACACACCCGACCAGTAAAGCGGATTATTTCTGAACGTGACATTTCCGACAGCAAGTAAAAGCAGCAAAAGCAGCCAATGAGCGTGTAACAAGAAGGGGGCTGGAACCATGGATGCATTATATTATATTTAATGAAACCAAACTAGTTCACCACAGCCACCCTATCTAGTTGAATGCATATGCACTGATAGCCATATGGGTTATTATATATAGGCTATGCTTGTGCAGACAGTGTCACATGGGGAGGAAACCTTCTTTTCTAATAGCTCAATATCTCTGAAAGGGGCCGTGCTTGTTGCTGTGTTGCTGTGTTGCTGTGTTGCTGTGTTGCTGTGTTGCTGTGTTGTTGTGTTGCTGTGTGTTGGTCGGTGCAGCGGGTTTAAGTGTGTCAGTTGTTTACATTTGAGCAATCGTCCACATTTACCCAGAGTACACCGGGCGACACCGAGGAACAGCCGCGTCAAGCTGGCGTCCATATGGCGGAAATACGGCAACTACAATGTTCTGTTTTCAAAATAAAAGTATTTTTAAGAACACAAAGGAATGGACTTTATTTAAATGTTTTCATCTTTACGCTACTTTATACTTCTACTCTTCTACATTTGAGTTTGAAATATTGTACTTTTTTACTAAACTACATTTAATTAAGAGTCGTACTGGTTACGCTGCCTACTAACAATGTATCAGCTTATAAAACACATAATGCTATAATTATAATTTAAATTAATGACACATTAACAACTACAAAATTGCTGCTTACACAGTAATTGAGGCGTGAATAA